CCCCTGCCCGGGGTGCCCTGCCCCTGCCCAGGATGCTCTGCCCCCGGGGCGTGCGTGGCTGCCTCATCCACCTCCTTCGGGTCCTCACCTTTTCGGCGAGGCCGACCCGGACCACCTTTCCCAGACTGCGCCCCACGCCCCACCGTCCTTCCCTGGGGGTTGTCTCTCTTTTTTATACAGCACTCTTCATCGAGTCTCGCGTGCCGACCTTTCTGACTCAGTTTACTCATCAACCCTCCCCCAACACCGCTGCCAGAACGGGAGCTCCGTCTCTCACGGTCCCCATTTAGGCCGGGCCCCGGCGTCACGAAGCCGATTTTGACCGGGCCCCGGTCCTTGAAGCCCTGAGTCCCGAGAGAGGGCAAGTTGAACTTTCAGATTCGGGAGGGGGCAGAGGCTGACGGACGCCCAGCGAGGCGGCCTTGCGCCGAATGCGGAAGGATGACAACACCTGAGCCAGGTGAAGGCGGAGAGATCGCAGAGGCCTCTTCTCCGGTCCTCAGTCTCCCCTGTTGCCCTTTGAAGATGCTGGATCAGGTGACTTCCAAGGCCCCTCTGGCCTCTGACATGCTGCAACTCTATGGTCTTTGGCCTCCGGCCCCCGGCGCTGTGCTCTGGTTTCTGCTGCCCCCTGCTGGAGACTTTTGGTGGCACGTGAATCAGGAGCAGCGGCGTCCACCCTACCTCATCTTCTTTCCTTCCCTTCCTTTCCCAAAGGGGGCGACACCATCCAGTCTGCCCCCCCAACACCTTCCTCCTCCAGCGCCAAACCAAACAACGCTTGCTTGGCTCGCAGATAGAAAATGTTCTCAATACATATTCTCGACGAAGGACTTGAAACCAGAATACATAAAGAATTCATAACGCATAACCCAGCAATCCGGCTCCTAAGTAGCTACCAAGGTAAATGAACACGTAAAGGCTTGTACACAAATGTTCGTAGTAGGTTTATTCATAGTAGCCCCCAAATGGAAAATAACCTAGTGCCCATCAACTGGCGTAAAGATAAGTGGGGCTTATGTCCATAGAGCTCAGCCGCCTGAGCGGTCAACTGCTGAAAAGTCTTACCGCGGGACACGGGTGTGAATATACTGTGCAAGCCATTTACACGAAACCTTAGACTGTAGCAACGGGAAGCGGATCGGAGACTTCAAAGGGCCAGGCTTGGGGGTTGAGGATGGAGCTGGGGGTGCAGCCTTAGCTGCAGAGGGGCACAGGGAAGTTTTGGGGGAGAGGAAAATGGCTAAAATTTTTTTTTTGATTGGGCTGGTGGTTACACAGATGGATGCATTTGCTGAAGCTCATACAACTAAGATATCGAACTAAGTGAAATGAGCCAGACGCAGAAGGACAAA